TGTGGTTTAATGGCACAGGCAGGGAGCCCAGCCAACAGCGAGTTGCAGTAATCCAGACGGGAGATGACAAGTGCCTGGATTAGGACCTGTGCCGCTTCCTGTGTAAGGCAGGGTCGTACTCTCCGAATGATGTAGAGCATGAACCTACAGGATCGGGTCACCGCCTTGATGTTAGAGGAGAACGACAGGGCGTTGTCCAGGGTCACGCCAAGGTTCTTTGCACTCTGGGAGGAGGACACAATGGAGTTGTCAACCATGATGGCGAGATCATGGAGCGGGCAGTCCTTCCCTGGGAGGAAGAGCAGCTCCGTCTTGCCGAGGTTCAGCTTGAGGTGGTGATCCGACATCCACACTGATATGTCTGCCAGTCATGCAGAGATGCAATTCGCCACCTGGTTATCAGAAGCGGGAAAGGAGAAAATGAATTAGGTGTCATCTGCGTAACAATGATAGGAGAGACCATGTGAGGATATGACAGAGCCAAGTGACTTGGTGTATAGAAGGAATAGGAGAGGGCCTAGAACTGAGCCCTGGGGGACACCAGTGGTGAGAGTGCGTGGTGCAGAGACAGATTCTCGCTACGCCACCTGGAGATGCCCAACTCGCCGGAGATGCCCAACTCGGAGAGGGTGGAGAGGAGGATCTGATGGTTCACATTATCAAAGGCAGCAGATAGGTCTAGAAGGATAAGAGCAGAGGAGAGAGAGTTAGCTTTAGCAGTGCGGAGTGCCTCCGTGACACAGAGAAGAGCTGTCTCAGTTGAATGACCAGTCTTGAAACCTGACTGGTTTGGATCAAGAAGGTCATTCTGAGAGAGATAGCAGGATAGTTGGCTAGAGACGGCACGCTTTGGAGAGAAAAGAAAGAAGGGATACTGGTCTGTAGTTGTTGACATCGGAGGGATCGAGTGTAGGATTTTTGAGGAGCGGTGCAACTCTCATTCTCTTGAAGACGGAAGGGACATAGCCAGCGGTCAAGGATGAGTTGATGAGCGAGGTGAGGTAAGGGAGAAGGTCTCCGGAAATGGTCTGGAGAAGAGAGGAGGGGATAGGGTCAAGCGGGCAGGTTGTTGGGTGGCCGGCCGTCACAAGTTGCAAGATTTCATCTGGAGAGAGAGGGGAGAAAGAAGTCAAATCATAGGGTAGGGCAATGTGAGCAGGACCAGCGGTGTCATTTGACTTAATAAATGAGGATCGGATGGCGTTAACCTTCTTTTCAAAATGGTTGACGAAGTCATCCACAGAGAGGGAGGAGGGAGGGGGAGGAGGAGGAGGATTCAGCAGGGAGGAGAAGGTGGCAAAGAGCTTCCTAGGGTTAGAGGCAGAGGCTTGAAATTTAGAGTGGTAGAAAGTGGCTTTAGCAGCAGAAACAGAGGAAGAAAATGTAGAGAGGAGGGAGTGAAAAGATGACAGGTCCGCAGGGAGTCTAGTTTTCCTCCATTTCCGCTTGGCTGCCCGGAGCCCTGTTCTGTGAGCTCGCAATGAGGCATCAAGCCACGGAGCAGGAGGGGAGGACCAAGCCGGCCGGGAGGATAGTGGACATAGAGAGTCAAAAGATGCAGAAAGGGAGGAGAGGAGGGTTGAGGAGGCAGAATCAGGAGATTGGAGGGAGAAGGATGACATTTTTACATTTTACATTTTAGTCATTTAGCAGACGCACTTATCCAGAGCGACTTACAGTTAGTGAGTGCATACATTATTTTTTTATTTTTCATACTGGCCCCCCGTGGGAATCGAACCCACAACCCTGGCGTTGCAAACACCATGCTCTACCAACTGAGCTATATCCCTGCCGGCCATTCTCTCCCCTACCCTGGACGACGCTGGGCCAATTGTGCGCCGCCCCATGGGTCTCCCGGTCGCGGCCGGCTACGACAGAGCCTGGAATCTAACCAGGATCTCTAGTGGCACAGCTAGCACTGCGATGCAGTGCCTTAGACCACTGCGCCACTCGGGAGGAAGAGATGATAGGATGGAAGAGGAGAGAGTAGCGGGAGCGAGAGAGCGAAGGTTGCGACGGCACATTACCATCTGAGTAGGGGCAGAGTGAGTAGTGTTGGAGGAGAGCGAGAGAGAAAAGGATACAAAGTAGTGGTCGGAGACTTGGAGGGGAGTTGCAGTGAGATTAGTAGAAGAACAGCATATAGTAAAGATGAGGTCAAGCGTATTGCCTGCCTTGTGAGTAGGGGGGGCGGTGAGAGGGTGAGGTCAAAAGAGGAAAGGAGTGGAAAGAAGGAGGCAGAGAGAAATTAGTCAAAGGCAGACGTAGGGAGGATAAAGTCACCCAGAACTGTGAGGGGTGAGCCATCCTCAGGAAAGGAACTTATCAAGGCGTCAAGCTCATTGATGAACTCTCCAAGGGAACCTGGAGGGCGATAAATAATAAGGATATTAAACTTGAATGGGTTAGTGACTGTGACAGCATGGAATTCAAATGAGGAGATAGACAGATGGGTCAGGGGGAAAAGAGAGAATGTCCACTTGGGAAAGATGAGGATTCCTGTGCCACCGCCGTGCTGACCAGATGCTCTTGGGGTATGCGAGAACACATGATCAGACGAGGAAAGAGCAGTAGGAGTAGCAGTGCTTTCTGTGGTAATCCATGTTTCCATCAACAGTAAGAAGTCGAGGGACTAGAGGGTAGCATAGGCTGAGATTAACTCTGCCTTGTTGGCCGCAGAACGGCAGTTCCAGAGGCTGCCGGAGACCTGGAACTCCACGTGGGTCGTGCACGCAGGGACCACCAGATTAGAGTGGCAGCAGCCACGCTGTGTGAAGCGTTTGTATGGCCTATGCAGAGAGGAAAGAACAGGGATAGAAAGACACATAGTTGACAGGCTACAGAAAAGGCTACAATAATGCAAAAGAGATTGGAATAAAATTAACTAAACATCTGGGGAAGCGAGAGAGCGGGGCCTCCCTCACTTACCTTTCACTGAAACACTCAAATATAACTCTCCCAACTTCCACTTTAGACATTATAATTGTTGTAAACTACAGCGGTTCAATGTTTCTAGGAATAGACTCTAACTTAGTTTATTCAGCTAGCTAACTTCGTACAGTATTCTTCCATGAAAACCGCCCAGGGCACCGTATCCTATGATGCCATAGCTAACTAGCATGCTAGCATCCAATAACACACGGTTTAGCACCAATACTTGGTTACAACAAACTACCAATAGTGTGTTAACACACTAAACAGATCATTCGTGTCCGTGTCTAGTTCCTTTCATAACGCAGAAATAATTAAACGTTGGCTAGCTAGCACAAAGTCAGTCATGCTAGCTACACAAGTGGACTACACATCTCGAATGTTCAGAAAGTGAAGCGTTGCGTTGCAAAATTCTCATTGACTAAAATGATATTGTATTTAGTTGCTACAGTACTGCTAGCTGGTAGTGTTGGCTAGCTAGCAATGGCTGCGGTGTTGACTTTGTTTGAAAAAATGGCGTCGCTGCGAACGAATGTAGCTGGCTAAAATGATATTGTATTTAGTTGCTACAGTACTGCTAGCTGGTAGTGTTGGCTAGCTAGCAATGGCTGTGGTGTTGACTTTGTTTGAAAAAACGGCGTCGCTGCGAAAGGATGTAGCTGGCTAAAATGATATTGTATTTAGTTGCTACAGTACTGCTAGCTGGTAGTGTTGGCTAGCTAGCAATGGCTGCGGTGTTGACTTTGTTTGAAAAAACGGCGTCGCTGCGAACGAATGTAGCTGGCTAGCTAACCTCGATAGTTTCTCTATACTACACCTTTATCTTTGATACAAAGACAACTATGTAGCTAGCTAACATTACACTAATCAAATCGTTCCATTGTAATGTAATGTGTCATTTACCTGCGGAGCGAAGTACAGCATGACTACTCACTCCAGGAGCCACCCAACAGATCATTCGTGTCCGTGTCTAACGTTGTGTAAAGTTTTGGGGTTAGTTTTGACAGTTTGAGTGAGTACGTCGTCAACTTATTCAGCCAGTTAGTTAGCTAGCTAGAATAGTTAGCATATTAGCTAGCCATTGCTCTCTGTCAACGAACCAACCCTTCCTCCCACGGTATGAAACATACAGAGAGAGCCAAGCTAACGTTAACTAGTCACCCATGTCTTGAATTCCTTTTGAACGACTCTGGTTATCAGTATGTAAATAAGAATAAATGTAGGTTACAACTTACCCTTAGTAGCTACTGTTAGCTAGTTAAGTGTAAAGCTAGCTACTGAATCAATTTAGCCAGTTCGCGTCTGTCCCAATGGAGAGAAAGCTTCTCCAAACATTACAGCTAGGTCATTCCAGCTATTGTTTAGTTAGCGATCCAGGTAGCAACAAGCTAGCTACATTTCGAGTACAGTAGCTACTAACTACCTAACGTTAACGCTTCAGATAATGAGGTTAGAAAAACAGCTGAATGGTAGGTAGCTAGCTGGCATAATTACAGGTACTCTTAAGCGTGAAATAACATTGGAAACAACTATCCACAGTTGCTAATAGTTACCAGTAGCTACCCGCTAGCTAGCTAGCTTTATTGGTCCAGGTAGTGGGTTAGCTAGCCTCGTGCTTCACCGGGCTCAGCCGAATACAATACTTACCTACAATAATTACCTACAATAACTACCTAGATAAACTATCTACAATACCTAACTACAATACCTACCTACAATCTAAATACATGGTTTAAGCTTTACTCAACACCATATAAAGAAGAAGCCAAGCTTACCTCCCGCTTAGAGAAACACAACCTCACCCCATCACCACCTGCTTCATCCTTATTTTATGTTTCTATAGGACTCATACGTCATTGGTTGGAGGCGTCAAATTAGTGAGCAGCTGCTCTTGTGATCATTGTCACGAAATTCCACCTCCGACACCGCCAAAACAACCGCTATGCAGATGTCAGCTAAAGCAGATATTTTATGTTTCTCTCCTCAGTGTTACTTAGAATAAGAAGCACTTGGATTGGACTGTAACCAGGATGCGCAGTATCCAATGGTGTGTGAGGTCCCGCCCTACCTTTGGATGCCTCGGTTCCGTACGGGTTTCCCAGGCTGTCCGTCAGGTCAGGTAGCCAGGCGTCTCTGACTGCGGACTTGAAGACGTCACGATTGTCGAGGCTCTGGATTGGCCGGAAGTTGCTCCTCAGGTACTCCACAGACTTCACATGGTCCTGCTGCTCTGTGGTGAAGATGGAGTAGAACGCCTCCAGCTAAAAGAGAGAGAGAAAGAGAGAGTAAGAGAGAGAGAAAGAGAGAGAGGTAGAGAAAGAGAGAGAGATAGAGGGAGGATGAAGGAAAACACACACACATTAGGGAGGAGAGAAATGACTGAACTGTTCATTTGTTCATGGCATCTTTCTAGCAGCTCCTTTTATCCTTTGCCCATACATGTGTAATGATGTGATCTTGTTTCTAGCTGTAGGGCTGTGGGGCTGTGGGGCTGTGGGGCTGAGGGGCTGTGGGGCTGAGGGGCTGAGAGGCTGAGAGGCATGCAGGGCCAAGCTAGCCCAGCCTAATCAGGGGAATAGTGTTTGTGAGGCAAACACAAAAACATGACCAGCTGTCCCCCTCCTCTCCTCTCCTCAGCCCAGAGAAGAACAACCACAACCACAAATTAACCACTCTTTCTGACCAGGTGCTAAAACCTAGGGAATAATCATAATAATCTGTTGAGCGGTTTAAGAGCTGTCATTTCAGATGATGAAAGTAATGTCTGGGAGTATCTGTCCATCAACATCATGATGGCATGCTAACGGCTAACGAAACAATGTGAGCTGAGACTGCTCAAGTGAAAAACACAGTCGATTTAGAGTGAAAACAGGCGGAAAGAGAGAGAGAGAGCGAGAGAGAGAGAGAGAGAGAGAGAGAGAGAGAGAAGAAAGATATATAGATAGATAGATGGCTAGATGTAAGGGGGAGGTGCTCATTTCCTTAGTGAGTGTGTGAGAGGTTGTGGGATAAACAAGCGGTCGGTATGGTTACAGAAAGAGGGTTGGAATCATAGAGATCCTATTCAATTAAAGTATTTTAATTCCTAACTCTATGGTTGGAATACTTCCCTGTCTGCTCTGCTCTCTGTCTGTTTACTAAGCAGACTGAGACTGGAGGCCTGGGGAATACTCAGGTCGATGACTGCACCTCACAGTGGCTGTGGAGAGTAAGTGTGTGTGAGTGTGTGTGTGTGCACCACAAATCTCCCTCATCTGACACTATAGAAATGTTGTGTTCCAGCAGATTTGGAACATAATGTACCTTCTAATCTAAAGTCGGCCATGTCCTTTAATCTTCAGGCTGCATTAGCCATCATGGCTGATCTGTTGAATATCGTAGCATCCAGCCCTGGCACAGACCATACAGCCCACGCCAGGCCGTGTCAAAGCAATACCCTGCTCTCCACCAAATCTCTTAATCAGACTACAATCTGCTAATCCCTAATATGGCAACACCCCCTTAAAAACAGGTTATTAGGATTTGAATCACTTCCAGGTCTGCCGAAGGATTTCTTTGTGTGGAAATCACAGCGTGATTGGAGACTAATCCTTCCAGGAGTGACATTGCACATCAAGCAAAAACGCCATCACACACGTGCACACACACACACTTCTGTGACTGGTGAGAAAGGCCTCTGTGATGGGGAGAGCAGGGGGTTAAGTGGCCTGGCGTGGCAATAGCCGTTACAGCTGGGTGTGCGATGTCCACACACACACACATGCACAAGATCCAGATGTTACAAATGGAAGCATTTTAGGCGGCGCTGTCGCTGTGGAATAGCTGAGCATCGATCTGCTGTAAAAGCCACCCCTAAGCTACGTCTGTCACTCCCAATGACCTACTTCCACCACTGATCAAGAACAAAAGACAAAGATGGAGGGAGGGAGGGAGGGAGAGAGAGAGAGAGAGAGAGAGAGAGAGAGAGAGAGAGAGAGAGAGAGAGAGAGAGAGAGAGAGAGATAGGGAGGGAGGGAGGGAGGGAGAGAGAGAGAGGGAGGGAGAGAGAGAGAGAGATGAAGACAGACAGGGGAGAGGGAGTGCACTGTGTCTTCTTTCCACGTTCTTTCATCTTGGCCAATTATGTTTTTTTTAAACCACAGGACAGAAAAAGTGGTATAGACTTCAAAGCCGAGTTAAAAATGTTAAAAAAGACTGACTAATGGTCAGGGGTAAACATCCGGAGGATAGAAGATAGGAACAATAATGCTACGGGATCCCACTGAAGGGAAGGAAGGACGTGCTTCCTGGATGGATGGATAGAGCTTCTGCTGAAGTCACTTCCCCTTTAAGTCCCTGTCCTGCTCATTGCATGCCTCAAACATCCCCCTGGTTTTGTGTCGATCAGGGTAGCTAGCTAGCTCCCTGCCTCTCGGGAAAGTTTAAAAAAATACTTCTTATACCAGGAAAGTATGTAGAGTTGCAGTAAAAAAACACCATTGTATATTCCATATATATCCCGGAGTATTATTAATTGTTGACTGGATCTCAGGCCAAATCAAATAATCCAAAAGGTCAGGCTCAGAGTTCCTCCATGCTGCTTTTCATCTTCTCTACTCTGCCTCTCCACTCTCTTATAATTCAGAGGATGACAACAGACAAATCCCGTCTATTACCCTGCTATTGGACACCTGCTATCTTCTGAGGAAGCAACATTCACTGTGAGCTCCCATAAACACCCTATTGTAAAACAAGGGGGAACCAGGAAGGTATGACTATGAATGTATTGCTGGTTTTATTAAAGGGGCAATCTGCAGTTGTCCACATATTTTTGGACTTTAATTAATGATTTGACCCATTGATTCTTGAAGAATATAACTTATAAATGCCTCATGAGCTTAGTTCAACTGTCGTACCCCACCAGATCCCAAAATACAAGCTGGTTTTACCCCAATGTTAGTAAACAAAGTAAATGTAAACAAACACTGTATAGCCTCAAAACATGGTTAAAACTAGAATGTTTGATATCATGGATGGTCAGTCCTTGCATCCAACGCTCTGTCTATGAATTTGAGAGTGGATACATTTCTCTAGCTCCATCCCTCCACGTTTTACCAAAACAGTGGTGGGGAAAACAGTTTGTTATTGTTTCAACTGCGGATTGCCCTTTAGAGTTTTAAGTGTATGTGATAAACTGTTCATGCAGCTGCTATGACTGCCCACTTTTCTGCTAGCTTTTGGGGGTACAAAGACCTATGTACCAGTGTGCCATTTTGCATTCAGCACTAGGACTATGCTGTTGCCTATGGGTGGTTAATCTTCAGCTGAGCTCTATGTAGCAGCCAGTATGTTATCTAGCCAGTCAGAATGTAAGGGGAATATGAAGCATGCTAACGGTAAGCTAGTGGTATTCAAGTGGTATAAAGCTGTATCTAGGAGTGACCTATCTTTCTGTGGGCCCAGAGCCAGGCAGCTCCTCTCTTCCACAGCTCCAGAGCTGTCTGGGCCTTGACTAAGCTCTGGCAGATAAACATGATTAATGCTGACCCACAGAGCACGGTGACAGGGGGCAACGCTCGGCCACCCCTCAACACCACAGCCCACACATTTCCTCTCTCACAGTCCTTTTCCTCCTCTCTCTCTCCTTCTTTCGTTCTCTCTTTCTTTTCCCCTTTCCCTCTCCATTTAACTCTCTCTCTCTCTCTCTCTCTCTCTCTCTCTCTCTCTCTCTCTCTCTCTCTCTCTCTCTCTATCTATATATATATCTTCCTCTCCCTCTCCTGCTGTGTCCCCTTATATAAAGCCAATACTTCTTCCACATTTGGCTTCCTCCAGTCGCACTCTTAAGCAAACTAATTTGGCCTCATTAGAATGTAAGTCTGCCAAATGTTCCCTGGACTGTTGGGAGGAGATATGGGGAGAGGAGTGGAGAGAAGGGCCATGTGAGGACAGACACTGCACCATCACATTACTGACCATGTCTGTGCCAACCCAATCACAAATACAGACATCACACATTAGATATGTGAGCAAATTACAGCTCTTGGAAGGAGGAGGCCATTAGTGAAGAAAGACGCCAGTGTTTGTGTGTGTGTGTTTGTGTGTGTGTGAGTGTGTTTGTTTGTTTGTGTGTGTGTGTGTGTGTGTGTGTGTGTGTGTGTGTGTGTGTGTGTGTGTGTGTGTGTGTGTGTGTGTGTGTGTGTGTGCGCGCATGTGAGAGAGAGAGTGACTCACCTGTTTATAGGAGAGGAACACAGGTCTGTTGAAGACGATCCACTCGACCACCTTGCTGCAGGGTGGGGTGGTGAGAGAACCTGTGTAGCGGTAATAACTCCCCAATGATGACGGCAACAGGTCTCTCAGAACAAAGGGCTCCAGGAAGGTTTCTTTCTCTGGGGGAGAACAAGCACAGGGATACAAGGAATCAGTTTTGACCATTCAATCACAGCCACATACACATGAAGCATAACAGTATGTCCATACTGCAATGCTGGAGAATGAGAAAATGTATTTATTGATGTAAACGGTGTCATGGGGAAAATGTGTTCTCATTGTCAATGAATCATTGTGTATAATATGGCCCTCTAGTGCTGATGCAAGTAGTCAACCATGTTGGCAACCAATTAATATAATTGATCTCCTCTACGGATTATTCAACCAGGCCTGAGTCAGAGCTCACATGTGTAACCACTGGATCTGTCCCCAGTGTCCTGGGATACATCAGAACCCAAAGTGTATTTTGGAAAGGACCACTCAAGCTTTACACAAATATCTGGTGAATCCGACAAAGGGCAAAACCGACCCACTTCCCTCCAAAATCCTGTTGTGATGGCAATGCTTATCAGTCAAAGAGAACAACGGCAGCCTGACACACACCCAGGATAAAGATAAACATAGCTGGGGCAAACCTCTTGTGCCATAACTTCTCAACCAACAATGAGGCGTTCCCTCCCAAATAGAGATAACAGTATAAATAACCTCAAAGATGTGGTGAAGAAACAAAACAGAATGATTGTATGAATCCTCCTACCCCACATTTTCAATACATAACTAAACTGGGAATCCTATTGAGCAGGGATGAAAAAGGGGCTTAGCGTGCTAGCAATGCGCCGCGGAGCTGCATCAGATTGGAAGTGAATGGGAGAGCTGGGGGATTAAAGCCAATGCTGGAGAATAGAGGACACAGGCACAGTGGTAGGGAAGGGGCTATACTGCTACCACCACAGCTGTACCACTAGCTAGGCTCACATACTGTACTGTAGTCTACTGTACTGTAAGCTATGTCAGCCTTTATAAATGAATTCCCAATCAGGGTTGGAGAGTGCCGAGTCAGTGGAGACTTCAAAGCCACCGTGAGACGCTGAATTAATGGACTTGTAATTTGTGCCGTTGAGGCGCGGGGAGTTCATTTCAGTACTGTCACATGAGACCACTGAGAGGGAATAGTTCACTGGGTAAACAATGATGCTGACACTGGGCCATGTACATATACATACATTACATGCAAGAGAATACAATGACATACAGGGTTAGGGCAGTACAGTATGTCACCCAATCAGCACCCTCTCTATACCTCCTTCCTATGCTGTATCCAGCATTGAGACTGCTGTATCATACAGCTAGGTCGTATAAATTAGTAGATACATTTGAATCACTCCTAAGTCTTCATATTATACCCCAGTACCTTTTCACAGCTCAAATCACAATGTCTTTAGACAGAAAAAATACTTTGCTTTCTTACAATGTAGCCTTTGCATGCGTAGATGGGCAACCACTGTACTGAGTGTACCTTACACAATCTCCTGCACTCATCTAGTGCTTTTTCAAATAGGAAATGAAGGAACAAAGGATTTTCATGGTTCTATTAAATATTAAAGCCAGACGACGCCTCGGGGGTCATTTAATGTACATGTATGTGTTGACTGGCCCCAGCTTAAATCCACTTGCAACATCTGCCTCCTGCACAAGAGACCTACACACACACACACACACACACACACACACACATACACGCACAGACACATGCATGCAAACATGCACACACACACACACACACACAAGCACATGCACGTACACACGCATGCACAGATACTCAGAACTGTGGCTCTCAGCACTTGGCGTCTCCTTATATGTGTCCCGATTGGTGTCTTTGTGCTTAGATTGTGTCCCTGACCTTGCTGTATAATTAAATATTAAGACTAAGTAACATAGGACCCTAATGGATGAACACTTGAGCAGACAGCTTTCCTGTCGCACAGGCCCATGTGCTTAAAATACCAGCAGAATGAGCTCTGTCGCAGCAACGCTAATGTTGCAATTAAAATGCCTTCCTTTGAGCCACAGGGAACACACAGAGCCATTGAAAACAGAGGATTGCTTCACAACGTTCTCACAGCAAATATTCCTCTGACACTTCTTATTTTCTTCAAACTTTTGTCTAATTGTGTAGAACGTAGCCTCTTCTCTCCCTCCCTCTCCTCTCCAGTCACATTCCCTCCCTCCTCCTTTCCTCTCCCAACACACCTTTCCCCTCCTCTCCAGTAATTCTCCCTCCCTCCTCTCCTCTCTTAAACTGCCTCCTTTCCTCTATCATCACACTCCCTCCCTCCTCCTTTCCACTCCTTTCCTCTCTCCCTTCCTCCTCCATCGCCCTCAGTAACAACACTAAAAGTAACGTGATGATAGAGGTAGGGTCATACAAACCAATATCCCTCCTTAATACAGACCAAAAGATTTTAGCAAAAACTCTGGCTAACAGGCTTAGCACTTTAATTGCTTGACCCCATCCCCTCCTCTCTTCTCCAGACCATCTCCGGTGACCTTCTCCCCTACCTCACCTCGATGATCAACTCATCCTTGACCGCTGGCTATGTCCCTTCCGTCTTCAAGAGAGCGAGAGTTGCACCCCTTCTCAAAAAACCAACACTCGATCCCACTGATGTCAACAACTACAGACCAGTATCCCTTCTTTCTTTTCTTTCCAAAACTATTGAGCGTGCCGTCTTTAGCCAACTCTCTTGCTATCTCTCTCAGAATGACCTTCTTGATCCAAACCAGTCAGGTTTCAGGACTGGTCATTCAACTGAGACTGCTCTTCTCTGTGTCACGGAGGCTCTCCGCACTGCTAAAGCTAACTCTCTCTCCTCTGCTCTTGTCCTTCTAGACCTGTCTGCTGCCTTTGATACTGTGAACCATCAGATCCTCCTCTCCACCCTCTCCGGCGCGGCTCACTCCTGGATTGCGTCCTACCTGACCGGTCGCTCCTACCAAGTGGCGTGGCGAGAAGCTGTCTCCGCACCACGTGCTCTCACCACTGGTGTCCCCCAGGGCTCAGTTCTAGGCCCTCTCCTTTTCTCCCTATACACCAAGTCACTTGGCTCTGTCATATCCTCACATGGCCTCTCCTATCATTGCTACGCTGACGATACACAACTAATCTTCTCCTTTCCCCCTTCTGATAACCAGGTGGCGAATCGCATCTCTGCATGTCTGGCAGACATATCAGTATGGATGACGGATCACCACCTCAAGCTGAACCCTGGCAAGACGGAGCTGCTCTTCCTCCCGGGGAAGGACTGCCCGTTCCATGATCTCGCCATCACGGTTGACAACTCCGTTGTGTCCTCCTCCCAGAGTGCGAAGAGCCTTGGCGTGACCCTGGACAACACCCTGTCGTTCTCCGCTAACATCAAGGCGGTGACCCGATCCTGCAGGTTCATGCTCTACAACATTCGGAGAGTACGACCCTGCCTTACACAGGAAGCGGCACAGGTCCTAATCCAGGCACTTGTCATCTCCCGTCTGGATTACTGCAACTCGCTGTTGGCTGGGCTCCCTGCCTGTGCCATTAAACCCCTACAACTCATCCATAATGCCGCAGCCCGTCTGGTGTTCAACCTTCCCAAGTTCTCTCACGTCACCCCCCTCCTCCGCACACTCCACTGGCTTCCAGTTGAAGCTCGCATCCGTTACAAGACCATGGTGCTTGCCTATGGAGCAGTGAGGGGAACGGCACCTCCGTACCTTCAGGCTCTGATCAGTCCCTACACCCAAACGAGGGCATTGCGTTCATCCACCTCTGGCCTGCTGGCTCCCCTTCCTCTGCGGAAGCATAGTTCCCGCTCAGCCCAGTCAAAACTGTTCGCTGCTCTGGCACCCCAATGGTGGAACAAGCTCCCTCACGACGCCAGGACAGCGGAGTCACTCACCACCTTCCGGAGACATTTGAAACCCCACCTCTTTAAGGAATACCTGGGATAGGATAAAGTAATCCTTTTACCCCCCCCCCCCCCCCCCCCCCCCCAAAAAAAAAAAAAAAAAAAAAAACTTTTGGAAAGTGGTTATCCCACTGGCTATAGGGTGAATGCACCAATTTGTAAGTCGCTCTGGATAAGAGCGTCTGCTAAATGACGTAAATGTGCCCTTGAGCAAGGCACTTAACCCTAATTGCTCCTGTAAGTCGCTCTGGATAAGAGCGTCTGCTAAATGACTAAAATGTAAATGTAAATGTAATTGGCAAATTGGTCCATTCGGACCAGACCGGCTTTATCCCTAACAGAAACTCATTATTCAATCTCAGGCGCCTCTTCAACATTATGTATTCTCAGAGGTTACCTAACGTGGACCTTGCCGTTATATCTCTTGACGCCGAAAAGGCCTTTGACCAAGTTGAGTGGCCCTATCTATTCAAGGTCCTACAGAAATGTAATATTGGAGATGGGTTCATAAATTGGATCCAGCTTTTATATAGGAACCCCTGTGCGAGAATACTCACTAACCAATCACTGTCGCCCCGATTTAACCTTTACAGAGGGACAAGGCAGGGTTGTGCGCTGTCGCCTATGCTCTTCGCCCTAATTATTGAACCTCTCGCTCAAGCGATCAGATCTCATTCAGCAATACACGTCTATAATACTAAAGATACTCTAAATAAGATTTCCCTATACGCAGATGATATTCTCCTCTATGTAACAGAACCCCAAGCTAGTATTCCAGCTATTCTTGAGGTGATTAATTTGTTTGGTACCTTCTCGGGATACAGAATAAATTGGAACAAGAGTGAATTAATGCCCATACGGTTGCAAAACACCTCCTGGCTAGAACATCTTCCAGTTAAGTTATCTTCAGAAAAATGTATCTACCTTGGAATTGTAGTTACCAAACAATACTCCTTACTATTTAAAGAGAATTTCTCCTCTCTGATGCAAAATCTCAAGACAAACATACAATTTTGGAGAACTCTCCCAATTTCTCTGCTCGGAAGAATTAATGCCATTAAAATGGTCTTCCTCCAACAACTGCTCTACCTATACCAGAACATCCCAGTATTCATACCTAAATCCTTTCATAAACAACTGGACTCTATTATCAATCCTTTCATCTGGGATTAT